AGATCATGTCCAAGCTCTGCCCCTGTCCCAGGGCAGTGCCGGTGGCGCCCGGAGGGACGCCGCTACCTGCAACGAGCAACCTCACCGAGCCTGCATCAAGCCTGCATCGAGCAGGCACGGGACTTCGCACCGTCGACACCAATGGCTGCTTCCATTGGTGGTAAGAACCTAATCCATCTCTCTAATCTGTGCTATTAGGTGATCTAGTGTCTGGATTACGATCTGTTAAGTAGATCCTACGGGATTATAAGTCTAACAAGTGCATGTCAAGATGTACTCTTATCTTATACTCCCTCTCAGGGGCAAAGCTAGGAGCCTAGGATAAAAGGTTGCCGGAGTCAACATGAAACAAGTAGTACTATCCTCACAAAAAATCATCAAATGATCGTGAGTTCAGAAAAAAAATCATGATTTGAAAAATGTTCGATAAATCATAATTTTTTCACGCACTAAAAAATGTTCCCATATTCAAAAATGTTTGTGTATTCATAACTGTTCATGAATTTGAACAAAAATTCACGGATTACAACAATGTTCATGCATTTTTTTAAATGTTCACAAAAACGAAAAATTGTTCACGAATTTCAACTATTGTTCCCAAAAATTCAAAACAAAGAATCATCATTTCAAAATAATATTAGCTGATTAAAAATAGTTCACGAATTCAAAAAATATTAATGCATTTAAAAAATATTCATGAATTTCAAAAAAAAATGTTTTCGACCACTAGCATCATCATTCAAAAAACTACATTGTATCGTTCCTTATCCCGCCTTTCTCCAATGGTTCACCTTCACCTACTTCTTCCTCATTTTCTCAAGCATTACTCGCCTCGATCCTCAGCACAAGATTTCTTGGCTCCGAGCACCCACCAACTTGATGTGCCAATGCTTCTCGCTTCAAAGCAACAACACCTTGTTCCAGAATCGCACACTCTTCATTATTTTGTAGACCTGCCCAATAAAGCATAAACGAGCATGCATAACATACGAATTCAACAAGAGATCTAGCAAATTTTTTCTCAAAACAAAATCTATTACATAACTTGGATGGGCATGTAGTGCCTTATCGTGAAGGTGATGCACTCCTGGACTTGTAGTAGAGCTGGTAGCTGCCACAAGTGCCTCCCTATATGTGGGTGGCCTTGAGGCAGGCATCGCGGAGGGGCATCTCTCCTCCGTCTCTTATTATAGGTCACATCTGTGGAGTCCCTCGGCGTCTACCATGATCTTGCTATCAGGTCCCATGGCTATGGCTACTTCAAGTTCCACTCACAGAAGGACGATGAGATCTGATCTATTAGACCCCAAAATAGCCAAAGCATTATATCTCTGTGAGCATGCATGCTAAAGGTAGCAAATCAAACCCAAAAGGACAAGTAAAAAAGACCAAGACATTCACCGTCCTCTTTGGATGAAAATTGATGTAGTCGTAGCCATACAACCTGTAAGCAACTTTGTGGCAGATGCGCAAGGAAGCCACAGGCGCGACCTGGTCGTAGATCTAGAAGAGTTGCCCCTCCATGACACCTGCCTCGGGGTCATCATTGATGCCAGGAATTATATGGCTGGCTTGCCATTTCTGCCGATGGTCGCCAATCCATCGGTATAGGAGGCAATGTCATCATCGAAGCCAAGGGCGGAACGCTTGACATTGTTAGTGGATGTTCACAAACCAGAGGAGTGAAGATTACTATACTATGGGTAACCGGTTGGTCTAGATGTATCAACTATATATTGAGTCCTCTTTTATAGGTGTCGAGTCCACCTGTCCGGTGAATGCTCTCTCCAGTATGCTTTTGTATAGGTACTAATTAATGATATTTATTTGCTACCTTTTAGATAAGCTTCAGGTGTAATTAGGCGACGAGTCTCTTTTTTGTATATCTGCATGCTGGTGAGTTGCGGTAATTGGGTCCACATGCCAGCCTATATGCGCGTGATGAGTTGCTACATGTATGTAGGTATGGACTACAAATTTCTTCTATTTTTTAGTGCAATATCACTACCGATTAATATTTGAGATAGAGTAGATATCACTACAAATTAATGTTTGAGATAGATTAGATCAACTTTACCATGTCGTGGTCAATGATCGTTGACTCGTGAGGATCCCTCGCTGCCTTCCTTGGTCAGGGCACCTCCAACACCGACCCTTAAACCTTCTTTCTCCCGCAAACCGGAGACAAACATGGAGGAGGGGGGCTTTGAGGGAGTCCGGACCGCTCCCACACTCGCTTTTGACCGCCTTGGCCCTTCCAAAACCCCTCCTCCATCTAGCGCGCTCTTCCGGCCTGGCGCTAGCTGCCCGCATTCATGCCACTATAGAGTGTGCTGCTCCACATTGAAAACGGCACAGGGCAGACGCGATCTCTCACTGCCTTCGCCGTTGAAGTGTCCGCCGGCCAAGGGCGTCACCCGCTGCATGCCCGGCTGAACACGCCTCCTCGCCGCATTCAAACGCCTCCATTAACACAGTGAAAGCCGAGAAACCTACTTCGGCCACACGTTCATTCACTATTAGGGAAACACCTAGTAGTAGCGTGGGGCCCCACGCTATTAGTAAGGCGCTACAGCTATTCCTTAGCAGTAGCGTGTGTGACGCGTGTGACACATGCTACTGCTAAGACATATAGCCGTAGCGTGTATTGTTTCCAGCGCTATTGCTAATCTAACTAGTAGTACCGTGCTTCCTGTCCAGCGCTATTAGTATTCTATTTTTTTTATTTTTAGTGTATTTATACACCGTTATACAAATTTTGGTACAATACCAATTAAGAGGTTGTTATATCATTATGTCCATGATGAATTAATATATCATCGTGAGGAAGAAACATGGATTAGATTCATTTGGATGAATCAAAAGTTGAATTAGGACGTTGATCCTACTAATTCAACTTTTGGTCATTTTTGATCCATCCACATGAATCTAATCCGCGTTCCTTCCACCAATGATATAATAACTAATCATGATCATAATAACAAATCATCATGATAATCATGATCAACATCATAATTATATTAATATAAAAACTCTTGCATCATATCATCACCAACAACACTAGCTAATAATCATCATAGTCATTACCACCAACACTATTTAATCATCATAGTCATAGTGCAGTTATTTAATCACTGCCAACACTAGCTAATAATAACCATTATAGTCATTACCACCAACACTAGTTATTTAATAATCATAGTCATAGTATAGCACATCATTATCTTCAAACTCATTCTAGCTAGCTAATCACTCCTGCTGCTCTCTCTCAGGTAAAATAGCATAAAACATGTGTAGCACTCCTGCTTCATCATATTGGAGATTGCAGATGAACCTGTCTCCTAATTGTGGGCCGCGCTTTTGATTGCTGCCCCCTATTACTTCTCTGTTGTGATCCTTCATAATTTTGCTCCAGTCTTTCACTATTAAGACTTGCTCGCTTTAGGGAATCATGAATGCACTCACGTGCAATGTAGGATGTCTTGACCGTAAGCTAAACATTGTCATGCGACCTTTAGGCTCGATCCAACGGGGCACAACATTCATCGGGAGTCCCTATTGAAGAACATCGTAGTAACATACTTAGCAATGAAATTTAGCTTAAAAAATAATGTATGCAAAAAATGCACTGAGGACAAATAGTAAAAATCTTACCATCTTTACTAAATAGATGTGACCATAGTTCAATACGCACACTAGTGATCATGCGTATTGAGTACTAATATTTCGAAGTCCATGAAAATAACCTGTCTTGACAGTATCAAGATCCTCAACCTATGAAATATAATGACTTATCTCCCCACAGTTTAGTTCAGCCCTGGGACAGTAGTAGGTGCTGTCTACCAAGCGCCGGACAAGTTTGCTTGAATCGAAATAAGCTGTCAATATAAATTAGCTGTCAACTATTTTTAAATAAACAATATAAATTACTTAATAAATATGGTTGAGAAACTCACATAATGATAGAACTGGAGGGATCTCCTCACGAATTTCAACTATTGTTCCCAAAAATTCAAAACAAAAAATCATCGTTTGAAAGTAATATTAGCTGATTAACACGAATTCAAAAAATATTTATGAATTTCAATTTTTTTTCTAATTTTCAAAAATCTTCTGCCGCTTCAAAAATGTGGACATGTTTAAAAAATGTTCATGTTTTTTCTAGAAAATCATGAATTCAAAAAAGGTTCATGATTTAATGTTCGCAAATTTGCAAAAAATGTTCAAGATTTCAACAAATGCTCACAAACTTAAAAAAATGGTGTTTGGCACGTGCGGCAGGAAGAGTTCATGGTGTCGTATCTGTAGTTAAATTGTTGGTGATGTTGTAGATGCAATTGAAATGCTGCTGACAACTCGAATAATCTGTTGCTAAAATACAACGTAATAACTGTTTATATAGTGTACACAATGTCAAACAATGTTCATAAATTTAAAGGATGTTCAAAAAAGGAAAAGTAAAAAAAATTTAAGGATAAGGTAAGAAAAGGAAAACGAAAAAACGAAAAAAATAAAAGAAAAGGAAATAAAACCAAAAAAACAAAAAACGAAAAACCGGTTGGTAATAAGCAGTAAAATGGGCCGGCCCATACTCTCGATCGGGCGCTGGAGTGTGCGCGCGGTCGCTCGCGCGCGACCTACGCACCAAATGTTTTTTTAGTCTACCTACGCGCCAAACAGGATCGCCACTAGAAGAGTAGATAATCTTTGTTTTTGAGCAAAAGAAGAGTAGCTTTTTGTTTTCTTTAGCGGTGCAAAAGAAGAGTAGATAATTCTACGGCCCAAGCAGCCCAACCAGTTGCCCTGTCCGTCCTGCTTTTAGAATGCCTAACCTTTCCTTGTTGATATCTTCTTCTGGCCGTGGTCCATTGCAATTCCCTGATCGGATCGTGATGAGCGAGCATTGAGAGGAGCCAACGGGCCGCCAGCGTGCTGTGTGTCGATCGATCGTGATGAGCGATCATGGCGATGAGTCCACACGCCGCCAGCGTCGCCGTACCATGCCGCCGGCGGGGCCTGCTTTCCCACTCTACAGCGACGACGTCCTCGGGGAGATATTCCTCCGCCTCGGCCCTCTGAAACCCTCGCTCCTGCGCGCGTCTCGCGTGTGCAAGCAATGGCGAAGCCTCGCCTCCGACCCTGGTTTCCGCCGCCGGTTCGGCGCGCGCCACCGGCAACCCTCGCTCCTCGGCGTCTTCACGCAGCAGCACGGAGAAGCCCTCTTCCGCTCGGTTCCCCTCGACCCTCCTGTTATTCCTTCGGAGCGCTTCTCCCTGCGAGGCTACGGCTCCTGGGATCTGCTTGGGTGCCGCCATGGGCGCGTCCTCATCATCAACCACACTGAGGGGAAGGCCATTGTGCATCACCCCATTACTGGCGACCAGCACCGCATAGAAGTTCCTTGGGAGTTCCGTCAGAATGGAGTGGTTGCTAATATCAATGGCGCGGTGCTTTGCACGGGCATGGCGGAGAACAAGGGCCACATACATGGTGCGTGCCGCTCAAGCCCCTTTAAAATCGTTTTGGTGCGCGCCTATACGGCCTACTCGGCCAAGAGGGATCTTACTTATCATATGGCCCACGCATGTGTGTACTCGTCAAAGACTCGAACCTGGGGCAAAGATGTCTCGGCACTGCTACCATGTGACAGTTACATTCCTGGTCACCATAGCGTCTTTGCTGGTAATGCCCTTTACTGGTATCTTCCTGGCTATATACTAAAGTTTGATATGGGCATGGAGAGCCTACGTGTGATTCGGAAACTTCCTGTTGCGAAAGATTGCTACGATACAAGCCATATTATCCGCTCAAAAGGTGGCGGTGTTGGCATTGCTTTTTTGTCATACCCTACCTTTCAAGTGTGGGACATGAAGAATTTCAAGAAAAAAAACAATTGTCATGGTGGAACTAGATGGGCGCTGCGGAAGCCTATTAGTCTTGAGCTAGGATGTGGGAGTGGTATAAGGATGAAGCAAGCTATAGTGGGGTATGACGAGGACGGGCATCAAATCTTCTTTCGAGTGGGGAGCAATATCTTCATTGTCGAACTTGTATCAATGAAGTCCAGTAAACTATGGAGAAGCTATTCTACACACAAATATCATCCTTACACGTGTTACTATACTGCAGGTAACTGCTCATCTTTAAATTGTTGAGTTATATATTACTCCCTCCGTTCCTAAATATATGAGGTTTTGGTAGTTCAAATTTGAACTACCAATCATATATTTAGGAACAGGGGGAGAAATATCCAATTATTTTTGCTAGTTTGTTGCCGCCGGATACCTCTTTTGTTTTTTGAAGTGTTCACCACAAACTTAAATTTAGTTATACATTTTTATTCCTACTTGGATGTAGGAATATCGCAGCCTCATCATTCTTAAAGTCTTAGATTAGCTGTTAGAATATGAAACTATATTTACTATTGATTGTGCCATTAAGATGCATTTTCAATACATCTTATATGAAACCTTTATGAAAATCCTTTTACGTATTTAAGGTAGACAAGTCGCATGTAATTTTGATGGGAAATCTTATATCATAAGATCTTAGAATACCGAGATCTAAAGGGAACATTATTACTTCATTTTACATGCAACATTTATCATAGCAAGAGTTTTCATTTAGACATAGTTATAGCATAAAATAATCATTAGATGTGAAAAACTTACTCGAACTTGCCTCTTCATGATGTTTTAGGATAAGGTAATGATATTCTTCATGTAGACACCACATAGCTGAAATTTGTGGAGAGTAAGAGGAAGAGTAAGAGCAAGATGGCAGGCCTTTGGACGTTTTGTTGCATTATAGATAGAAATTAGCACTCAAAGAGTTGGTTTTCCGCTTCCTACTTATGCTATTTATCAATTGATCACTGCTTGCAGCCCTCGAAACTTCTGCTGATAATGCAAGTATGACATACGGTGGAGACCAAGAAAATACTGCTCAAGGAGGAAGCGTGCAAATTTAAGCGGGTGCCAGTGTCTATGTGTGTATAGATTGAACTTGAGTATTTCATTAAGACAAACAGATGAGCCATCTATTTATAAAGAAGTTTGATTAGTCTAAAGTTTGGAAAGTTTGGAATGTTACAAGTTCAGCAAGGACCCAACTAAACCTGGGCATCCTCCGGTCCGGGCCTGGCTTTGTAAAGCCTCGCCTCAAAATCTCAAGCCCAAGCCCGGCCCGGCCCGGCTCGAAACATACGAACAATGCTCCTTTTTATTAAAAATATTGGTTTTCAGGGTATTTAACTAATATATTATACCTATATTTGTAATTAAATAATGATATATGCCTTCTTTGTGCATATGGAAGAGATAAAATCCTATGTCCTACTTTGCTTGTATTGATTATGGATGGGATACAAAGTATAGGTGATCTACCGCGAGATCGTGTGTGAATGAAGCTATCCTCTATGGTCCTGGCACCGTAGTTTATATAGATACCAGGGTGCCTAGGGTTCCACATAAGTCGGTTGTTCCTAGGGGCAAATACGTTGGAGACTATCTCAAAGCTTTGGGGTGCATGAAAGTCTTCGGATCATTCCTTCTTGGCTTGCTTGGTCACGATGAACGAGGCCCACCAGTTGATAGGCTTAGGGGGTCCTTGGCCCAGCCCATAGGACGGGCAACCAACACACCGAGCACCACTAATCCATGACTTCGTTAGTAGCCTCTGAACTGGTGTTCAAGCCGATGATGTTCCTCAGTCCTCTGAACTTCTATTCGTATTTGGTTTTCTAAGCTGGTTCATCCTTACGCAGTTTCCAAAGTTGTTTTTCATTGGTCGAGTAGTCGTATAATCATCTAATTATCTTGTGCATGGATCAAAGTTGGCTAAGTTAGACGTGGCAGTGTCAGTGTGTAGCATAAAGATTGTTTTTGGAAAAAATAGTTGCCCATGCAAATATTACTGGAAATGATTAGCATTTAAAGTCTGCTTACATCAAGCAAAGCAATTCAGGCTATTGACGTTGTCAAGTGTGTGAATGCAGGAGCAGAAAGTGTAGATTTTCTGATGTGCATCAACTTTCATGGCCTTTTAAAATAGACCGTCACTTGAAAGGAATACACCTTGGATTGTATGACAGCGTCACTTGCAAGGAGAACACTTCGCATCATAATATTCGTATGACACTGTTCATACATTCAAATCAATCAACCCAAACTAGCTAGAAAAAGGACACTTAGATGGATTTGCTTGTTCCACTGCTTAGTGTTTCACTCTTGTTCTTCATAACAAAACAATTAGATTGGTACAAATGCTAAAAAAATAATGATACGAAATATTTTCACTGAAGGGTTTGTTTTAATTAACAGTAATAAATTGAAAATATTCAAAGATAATCATCATTATCTTTTACTGAAAATACACAGTAGCCAAAAAATCAGAACTCTCATTGGTTGGACATCACTTGCTGCCCAGGGTCATTCTCTTTGTTGCAGATTTCTTCAGTACGGAGTCTGTTAGGCTTTTCCATGGAAGAGTTGCTTTCCGGTATAGTGAGAATTTGCTTAACATCTTGTTCTTGCCTCTCACATTAGAAATGCAGATCACTGCGATTCACTAGATTGACTTCACTGCAATTGTCTTGAGTGATGGAGCTGAGCTTGCCATCAACATTAGTACTTGCTTCTTTTCCAACTTTGGAGCCAGTACGAAAATCAGCCCTCTAGTGTTTTCCTGAAGAATGATCTTTTCTTAATATGACATCTGCATTCTCCAAAACCTCTTTAGCCTTCATAATCCTGACGTCCAATTTGAACATTAGCACACACTTCTTTGAAGCGAGACTAACAACATGTTCGTAGACAGACAAGGCATCAATCCTAGAAAAGCTTCTTCTATATCCAGATGCATGAGCCTCTATCTTTCGAACCTCATCAAATGAGAAAAGCTGAAAGAATAACACTTCATTCCATCACTAAAATCACTACTTCCAGCATATGCATACCCAAAAGACGTATAGAAACATTGTGATTCACCTTAGCAGGGAGGTAGACTTCATACGATGCTCCAGGGTAACAGATCATCTTCAGAGCTGTTGCAAAATGGATTAAAACCCAATTCTTAGTGTCGATTTCAGATGTAACCATGAAGTCCATTAGAAGAAGGTGGAAGAACTTCAAATACTCCTTCTCACATAATTCGATATCATGCAGGAGATAAGCTGCCTCCTTAATAGACGTGTCATCAACCTGAAGTTAAGGAGCATTTCTTCATCACTGAAAGAAAGCTGAAGGCCGGAAATTCTAGAAGACGCTTCATCGATGAATAAGACAAATTGAGGTTCTTAGATGTTAATTTCCAATACAGCGTGTCTATGAAAAACTTCAATCATTGGCAATTAAAGCATTATAAGCATACAATCAGTCTGAAAGGACTAACACTGCATAACTAAAGGCGATTTATTGAAGCTAGAGTTATTGGCTGAAAAGAAAAGAAAAAGAAGGTACTAGTAGTCTAGTATTGACCAGGGAGAAATAAAGCAGACAAGGAAGGCCAAGCGGTAAGCTCACCATCTTAAGCTTGACATGAAAGCCATGTTGATGTAAGAATAATTCTAAATCTTTGGTCGGATCTGTTGGTTGTTGAGGCAATAAAGCGGGCTTGTTCATACTGCGAATTATCACCTCACAATCCGGAACATCAACGTGCAGACAGGTTATTCCCTAAAAAGCAAATGGTGATCAATACTATTCACCCAGACAAAAGCAACAACAAGCTTACAAAGTTAACACTTACCAATTTCATCTCAATTATCCGTTTATATTCAGAACTTCCCACAACTAGTTTCCTCCCAGAACCACACAGCTTCCTGAGCCTCTTGACCAGGCGACCATCGACAACCTCAGTAGAAGGGTTGATGGGGATGGGCATCTGCTCCTTCTTTATGAACACTATCAGACTCTGGAAAAAGAAACACAGACGGGATCTAAAAAGCTTGTCAAATATAATGCAAGTGCCTAAATCATGAAATGAGGCAGGTTAATTTAGTAGCCCTGCATCAATCATAAAGTATAGTGTTGCTTAAGTCTTTGTTTGTACAACTCTCTCAGTGGTGCTCCCAAAACATTCATACGTAAGGCTAGATGTTAGTATTTTGGAAACAATCCATAGTGTCATTCTTGGTAGGAGTACCATGCCAGGACTCATTCATCCCTAGCTAAGAAGATGTAACCACTTCGTAGAAATTTGTGCCTAGCAGTACCCACTTAGGTTCCAACCAGCACTAATTGATATTTTAAGGATCCATTAGCAGATGTCTGACCATAAAGACACTGCACCATGGCACCAAAATAGAACATGGTAATCAGGAAAGACTCCAACCCAGAAAAATATATGATTGACCAGCTTGATTTGATTTTGAATTGAACGAATCAGTTCAATAACAAATAACAACTACTGAGTACTCCCTCCGTCCAAAAAGGCTTGTCCCAAGCTTGTCCTTCACATGGATGTATCTAGCCCTATCTTGGTGCTAGATACATCCATTTAAGGGACAAGCTTTTTCGGACGGAGGGAGTAGTAATGAGTTAATGTTAATATTCACCCACTCATTACAACAAGAATTGACAATAAAGACTGGTGAAGCATTATTCTGTTCTAGTTGGCAACAAGAAGCGTAAGGAAATATAACAAAACTAGTAAGAAATAAAATAGGAGGGCTACTATAACAAGCCGTGGCAAGCATGCCCAGAAGTCCTGTGGAAAAAAATAGACAGATATCAATCAGATGATCTTGATCTCTTCTTTGATGACATTATGACGATGAAAACCTAAGTAGCGTCAGCAAAAAAAACAAGTACCTCCACTGAATCATTGAGGTAACTCCCATCAAAACAAAAAATTGCGATCCCAGAGGGTGCTTGGTATCAGTTGTGGCGCCACGGTAGGGGCGAGTATCAAGATGGCAACGGGGCCCCGAAACCCGCGTCCCCGTGGGTTTTTACCCTATTAGGGGACGGGGATGGTCATCTTTTTATCCCCGCGGGGCTGTTGTTGGGCACATTATACAACCCGACACGTTTCATGGGTTTGCACCCGTTTTGGTAGTCCCCGAACCCGAAACCTGGCAAACCCGGCAAAATACATTTTTTTTGCTGATATATGCTCCTGTTTGTTGCTGAAATATGCTTATGTTCGTTGTTGAAATGGGCTATAGTTGTGCTGAAATAGGCTTCTTTTAGCTGATGTTATTCCTGAGTATTGTGCTGAAATTTGCAGTTGTTTTGCTGTTGAAATATACTATGTTGCCGCTGAAATGATATCATTGTTGCTACTAATTATCTTATGTTTGCTGCCTCTGAAATATACTATGTATGTTGTTTAAATCTGCTAAAATACACTCTATATAGCTGTTGAACCATCTACTATTGTTTTTTGTTGAAATTTGCTCTAATTATGCTGCTGAAATGTGCTTGTTTTGCTATTCAAATGTTATTCTTTGTCGCCACTATGTTTGTTTAAATATTTTTATTTTCTCGTGGGTTCCCCGTGGGTTCCCCGAAACCCGATGGGTTTAGGGGATGGGTGGAAAACTAACCCCGCACACGGTGATGGGGACGGGGACGGGTTTGCGATTTTCTCGTGGGGATGGGTTTAGGGAGGCAAAACCCGATGGGTTTTGTCCCCGTTGCCATCTGGAGGCGAGTATGGTCGGCCGCCCCAGGTAGCCGGAATCATGTACGCAAAAAATACGATTCGTTTTGTACACATATACGGTCACAGCCCAGCCCAGTTATAGCCCATAGCCCATAGGATGCCCCGATCAGGTACAGGAACTCCCACTAGTAGAAAATGGGTCAAATGTGAAGCACATTAGTGCTGGTTTGATTTTGAGCCGGCACTAATGTGTGCATTAGTGTCGGTTCCAACGGCTAGCCGGCTGCTCTCATTAGTACCGGTTCGTGGTGAACCTTTAGCACCGGTTCGTGGCGAACCTTTAGCACCGGTTCGTGCCACAAA